GCAGGAATGGACACACTCGCTGTTAATGCAAAGAAACACACACGCTCACGCAGCTTGAGTCTGCAGCAGAGAGCGAACATCTGAAGCATCTGAATCAGGAGCAGCTTCAGACTCAGCAGTTTATCTGGAGGAGTAAAACGTTCCAGCGCCATAAACAGAGCCGGACCCAGAGAGAAAACCCAAATCCTGGATGCAGGAGTGGAGATCGGCTTTCAGCGCAACGCGTCGGCGGAGGAGGCTGTTCCAGGACAGCAGCCGGCCGTGAGGACGCAGACGTCTCCAGCGTCTGAGGAACGCGGTTCTGATCCAGGCAGAGGCACCGACTGAAGGAGAAACCGAGCTTAACAGAACCGACCTGCAGAAACAGGCAGTAAAATGTTTCCCCTCACTTCATCCTCCAAATACAAACACACTAAAGGAGCAGAATTATGGGTTTTATAGGCAAATTCAATTGAAATTCAAACATTCGTTCATTCAATGTTGTAACTCATATTAATTCTAATTCTTCAGACTTATTGCAATAGGCAATTTATTACCTTCAATTGTTATAAAAATGCTACAAATCAAACTGAATGTCTTGAAATTGGGTCTCTGTGTCTTTAAGAAGCTCCTGCTCTGTCTGAAGCTCCGCCTCCAGGAAGTCATCCCAACATGGCTCCTCTATTAACCCTTTAACGTTTTCACTGTCGTTGCTCTTAGAAGTAGCTTCTACAATGAGCTCAGCAGATGTTTGCTAATTGCTGCTGGCTAGTCTGAAGGAACTGAGTGGCGCTTTGAACAGCTGAATGGTTGCCATGGAGATCAACATGTGTCAAAGAATCGAGACAACATTCTCGGTCTGATGAGGGAATAACTTTCTATCATAAGGAAAGCTTAACGTGATGCTGCCCCTTTAAGAGCCAGATCGTCCTCGGCTTCAGCTGGAGAAACTTCAGCTTCACCAGAATATTTCTTCCTCTGTTGTTTCAGGACGTTTCTGCTCAGAAAGCAGCAGCAGAGGCTAACAGAAGCTAACAGGAGCAGAACTGCAGCGTTTTGTCATCATTTCTAAAACGTCTTTTCTCTGGTTAAAGATCCAGATCCCGGATCTGCAACCCGACTCGGGTCGGATTACACATTTAAAAATCTTTTCAAGTCTCTTCCAGTCATTAGTGACAGTTTGGATCTGACAGCTGCAGAAGGCTTAAATCCGACAGTTCTATTATGGGATGGATAAACAGCTGAATCAATGAGGAACGACGTTCAGAACCAAACTCTGAGTGAATATGGAGAAAATTAGCAGCAATAATCTGGGTTGTTTAGCCTGTCAGGGAAAAAAAATCAAAATTATATATTTATAGATGTTGTTTCCAATGTCACACTTTTAAACTAATAATTTAAAAACTAAATATTTAGTTTGAAGCTGAATTTTTAAAAGTGTAATTTTCAAATTCACATTTATATTTAGTTCAGAGCAAAATAAATATTTATATTTATATAAATATTATAAATAAAATATAATATAAATATTTAGCTCTAAACTAAAAAGCTAATACGTCAATTAAATTACATACTTAGCTTACAACTAAATAGTTTGAAATCTAAATAATTAGCTTTAAACTGAATATTTAGTTTGCTAACATTTAGTTTGATAATTAATTAAGCTGGTAAACCAAATGTTTTTTCCAAACTGAATATTTAGTCAATATTTTGTTTTGTAAACTAAATATTTAGGTTATTTAAGCAATAACTAAATGTTTATTTGAGCTGTGACATTCATAAATAAGTAAATAACATGGTGAAAATATAACTGATTGATAAATGAACTGCCATTTTTCCTCTTAACAACCCAAATTACTGTTGTCTAACTTCAGAAATGGCAGTCCACACCCACTGTCCTCTGTCTGCATCAGAAGACAAACAGCAGGACGAAGACGTCCAGACGCTCCAGAAGACGCGGAAATGGAGATAAATTTATCTCAAAGAAGAAGATGAGGAAGTTTCCTGCAGAGAAAACCTTTCTGCCCTCCTCTCTCCCAGAAGGATCCGACTCTCAAAGCTGGAGTTCCCTTCATCTCCGACTCATCCCGTCCATCAGACACTCTGTCACTCCTCTGTGGAAATCTGACTCCCTGCTGGGAAGCATGAGCGAGGAGGAAGAGGGTGATGAAGAAAAATCAAACAGCAGCAGAAAGAAAAACAGTATGAAAAAAGTATGATTGACTTTCTGTCAGATATGGAGACAGCAGCTCAGTTTCTGCTGATGATTCGTTATAAATAAGTTCATGACTTTTAAACACAGGAATCCAGATGTTGCAGCTTCCTGCAGAAAAGGAAAAACTCTGACGGCTCCTGGACTCAGTTTCACACCTCAAACACTGAAAACTATTATCTATATGTTATGAATTGAGGAATATGGGGAAGTTTGGTGTTAGCATTGGTCGACACATTAATATCCTGCATGGTTTCTGACTGAAGTCCTTTCATGGTCAATTAAAGTAACAAGCAACAGAGCAAGCAAAACTCAGAAACTATAAAACCAAAAGCATGAGTGAAAAGTCCTGAAGTGCAAACCAAACACAAAGACGTGCAATTACAAATATGACCCAGTAGAGGGCGCTATGCTATGTTGTAACAACATGGTTGAAACCAAATTCCATGTTGGTGCAGCGCTTTAGCAGAGCTAATGTTCATGATTAGCTCTTTGCAGTTAGCACTGCTCTCAGAAATTCTCCACTTTCCTTCCTGACAGAGTTTCTGTACTGACCTTTACTGTCAGCAATCAGACAGGAAATGGACAGAGAGACAGAGAGAAGACAAGCATGAAAGGTCATGAGGTCAGGAATCGAACCCCGGAGGGCTGCAGCTGAGGACTGGAAGCTGTGAAGCGTCTGCTGTGATGCCACTCCACCCGATGGACGGCCTGCAAATCTTTTCTTCTTGCAGATTTTTGCTCCGTCACCATGACGTCAGCTTCATCCACCAAATCCAGAATCCCTGGGAGCGTCTGCAGCAACAGCTTTAGATTTAATGGCTTCTTTAAATTCTGTAAAAAGGGAGAAATTTTCCATGGAAGCAGAATCTCTAATGGATTAACCCGATGCCAAGCGTCGCATTTTATGCTCCTGTAAGCAGGCCAGGAGGCTTGGTCGCCTTTCTTCCTCAGAAATCCAGTTTCCTAATGAGGAGTCAGCCTAATGAAATCTAAAAGAGTAAGAGGCTGACATGGAGACGTGATGGGAGGGAAGCAGGCTGCAGAGGCTGCAGGCTAACAGGCAGGAAGTAATGGACTCTTTATTGAATTAAATGCTCCACAAACGCAGAGCAGACATTATTATCCAGCTGGGATCCTGACACCAGCGCCGATAACAGGATCCATTAACCTGATTGGCTGCGCAGCCATTCGTCAAAAGCCGTGCTTTAATATGAATCAGTTATCACTGGTTCCAGATTTAATATAAAAAACGGATCCAGGTTTCAGTCAGACCTGAAGAGGCCCAGCGGCTTCCTCAGAAAAAAAACATTTTAAAACTTGAACTTTAAAAAGCCTCATGCAGGAAACATTCAGCATCTGCAGAAGAAGCTTTTTTGTTATTTGGTTGGATTTATTTATAGTAACTTTGCTTCCAAAGCAGGAGTTCAGAGATGATCTGAGATGTTTTTATCTGATAAAGGCACAAAGTGCATCAGTTTGAGGTTCATTAGCAGCAGCTGTAAGTGCAGCCAAACCGTCTGCCTTAGAAACAATATCTATATATATCTATCTATATTTTCATCTATGTATGATGTTTCCTTCACCAAAGACGCTAAACAGTCGTCTGGAGCAGGAGGATCCAGACATAATCTGCTACTCTCGGGTCGAACAGCGGCAGCGTCTGCAGGAAATGAGCTCGCCCAACACGACTGCTGCTTCACTTGACCCGATGACCTCTGCAGCGTCCGTCTCAAAGCGCGGCGGCGGATGAAATGTCAGGGATGGGTTAACACGGCAGCCGGGGAAAAAGTCTCATTTGGGATGAATATCTGATCAGCGCGCCGCTCTGCCCTCTGAGGAACTAATCCTGTCCAACGTGTCCCCAATCCGTCCCTCAGCGTCCGCTCTGCACACGTCCAGCCCTGGCAGGATTTCTTCTGCCAGTAATTGGGAACGGATCTGACGGGTTTCATCTGTAATCGGAGCCGATTCGCCTCCTCAGACCCGTTTAGAGGAGCTGATGTTACATCCACTCAGATCAGCGTCAGAAAACCAACTTTAGGCGTTAAATATAAAAATCTTTCTGCTTCCGACAGAATTCTGCACAGCGTGACCCAAATCCATCTGATTTCAGATGCAGAAGCTCTGAAGTTTCTCATTGAAGCTTTTATTCTGCTCTCTAATTGGACCCTCAGCAGAGAAACAGAAAAAAGAGCAAAGAGGGAACAGAGCTGCTGATCCCAAACAAGATGGAGACGAGCTCTTCCTGCCGCTGCATGTTGGACAAACCGAGGAAAACAAGAAAGATTGAAATATGATTTTACAATTAGTGAATGAGCCGCATGAAAAACACCTGCTTACCTCCAGGTCCAACATGTCAGACTGGATTTTATAAACACAAATGAACTACACAGCCATGAGTTCAATAACGTCTGATTCCAGGACAGGAAGATCAACTTCCTGTTTATTCCAGCCCTGCGAAGCGTCAATATCTGACTAAATCACATTATGTGTATCCTGACATTTTAAACGTTTGCTTAAAATTTGCATGACAGTTGGAAGGAAATGCAGCAAAGTCCTGCAGGAACCAGAGGAACCAGAGGAGCTGAAGCAAAGTCCAGGATTCATGGCTCCATTATTTTTTACTTTACTTGGTAAAAAGTGTTTTCACCATAAAAAAACCATTTAGTCATATGGAGGATAATATTGAAAGTTGTCAGAGGCAACAGAACCGCCTTAAAGAACGAGTCTGAATAAAACGTCTGGAATATTCTCAGGTTTCCATCAGCTGAACGTTCGTCAGGATGGCGAATAGTTCTGAACTCACCAATCTGACGGCTCAGGTGTGAAGGCGTGGCAGCATCTCTGGATCAGAACCTGCAGGAAGAAAAAACATTGATGATCATCTGACTCAATTAAAACTCGGCCCGCGAGTTTGATTCACTGATTACATAGATTTTAAATGATACATTTCTGTATGAAATGAATCCCTTTCCATTTGAACCTTTATATCTGTGCATGCCTGGTACAACAGCGGCTAACACACCAACAGCAACCGAGCGTCTTCTGCTCCACTGCGGTTCATTTCTGCTTGTGTTCAAGGTGAGCTACAAGGAGTTAGCCTATCAGCTAAGCTATTCAAGCCTAAAATAGCATCTCAATGCTAGCATGTAGCAGCTAATGCTAATGTTAGCATCTTCAATAAACATTTCTAAAGCAACTCCATGATTGATCAGAGAAACTCTGGAAAGATGAACAGACAGAAAAACACTTTGCTCCAGTCTGATGGTTGAAGAACAAATTAAAAATATCTGCTCTATATATTCAAAACTCACCAGCAAAAATTGGTTTTTGATTTACATTTTTTTTTAAATTTTATCTATAATTTTAGAGTAATTTCAGGCTGTGAAATTAACTCCATTAAAATTTAAATCCGGTCCAGAGAGACAGTCAGACAGACAGACAGACAGAGACAGACAGACAGAGATAGACAGACAGAGGGACAGACAGACAGAGGGACAGAGAGGCGAACCCAGTGGAGACAGCTGGAATATCCGGCGTCTCCGGATCGCCGCGCTGCGTTCCTCAGAGGGTTCGGGGGTCGGCTCGTGTTGTTGTAGCCGGTAAACAGGCTGAGAGGTGGGAGGTGAGCTCACACACACCCACAACACACACACACACACACACACACACACACACACACACACACACACACACACACACACACACACATTGACATCTGGAAAAGGTCAGAGGACGTGTGTGTGTGTGTGTGTGTGTGTGTGGTGTGGTGTGCTATCAGAGCTATAATGAGGTCTGAGGGGAACACAAGGCGTCTTGTCTGTCTCTGATCAGAAACACACACAGAGTCACGACCCTGACCCACACACACACACACACACACCCACACCCACACACACACACACACACACACACACACACACACACACACACACACACACACACAGTCGCTGGCTGTTAATCTGTTACAACAACCAGCAGAGACTTTTATTCTGAAACAACAACAATGTGAATCTGACTGCTGAAACTCATGGAGTTTCACCAAGTGTCCAGTTTCTATTGCTGTTGTCTGAGTTTGTCAAATAAGACTAAAGTAACTTCAAAGTAACTTTTCAGGGAGGAGAAAAATGTGGGATAACTCCAATAATTCATAGAGGAAGTTCAGACATATTTAGGCATGTGAAAAATCCCAAGCAATCCAAGATTATCAGAATTCCATAAGAAGCAGAAGCTTTTGGGTCAAGATCATAAAAACATGAATGTTTTCAGAAGCAGAGGAAAGATTAGAAGATAAATATATGAATAATGAATCAACCTATTTTAATTAAAGCCTGATTCTTTGCTACATAAATGTAGAAACAGAAAAGGGTCGGGATGTGAATGAAGGTCCAGCTGACCGGTTCTGAAGGAGGGTCCAGCTGACCGGTTCTGAAGGAGGGTCCAGCTGACCAGTTCTGAAGGAGGGTCCAGCTGACCGGTTCTGAAGGAGGGTCCAGCTGACCGGTTCTGAAGGAGGGTCCAGCTGACCGGTTCTGATGGAGGATCATTACAGCCTCTCAAGTGATTCATGTATTAATGAACGTTTCCTCCGTTCATCATGCAGAACTGCAGTTCAGACGATTTTAAATTTAGCACCAACTATTTCTATTCCCACTGGAACTCCAGACTGCATCTGAGGAATTCACCAAATTAATTAAAGAAACAAAGCAGACATTAACCAAAATGCACGTCTTTCAGTTTGAATTCATCTGCAGTTTTGGGTTCGACTGCAGAACCGGAGAGTAGTAGGAAAATAAAGACAGTGAGCCGAGAGGACAGGCTGCAGTGAATCTGTTCAGATGAAGAGACATCAGCTGGAGCGCCCCCTGCTGTGCTGATTGGACCTTCTGTCCTTAACGAGTTGAAACCAAGTCCAGTTTTAATCCACAAAGCGCCTAAACCGGATGTTGAGAGACAGACACCGGAATAAACATTAGCAGGATGCGCCGGAAGCTCCTTTAAATGCTAACAGAGCTAATGCTACAGGAACCGACACCGGGCCCGAACCAGCTGCTACCGGACCGGAAACAGAGCTGCAGAACCACTGACTGGGCTGACTGGACCAGAGACAGGTCCTCCAGGTCCTCATCACCACATTCCCATCATTTCAGCCGCCGGTCCAAACCCAAAACGTTTGACGTCACTCATCGCTGAGCTGGTCCAATCGACCTAGCACCCAGAATGCATTGCAGCGTAAACAACATGGCGACAACCATGTGACAACCTTTCATCAACATTTATAAAAACCAAACGACCTTCGGTATCACCATTTTGTTTTAACATTTAAAATAAATGTTTCTAAAATAAAGTCTGTTATAAATGATTGTGGATCCCAGTAAAACCAGCTTGTGGACCAATGAGGAGGCTGGTTCAAAAACAAAGAAAGCTGATGAACCAATGGAGAATCAGCAGCTCTCCGGAAGCCGCCATCTTTCCTCCACTGCATGACCAAACAGGTGACGTCAGCAGAGCGTTATTTATTTATTGTCTGTCATGTTTACACATAAATGCAAAGCAGAATTTGCAAATATTCACTTTGGCTGGAGGTTTTATTATCAGCCATTTTTAGTTTATTAAGCTGAGTTTATATGTGGATGAAAGATGAAATAAAAGTGTTTGGTTTATCAGACACCTGAACGCCTCCCCAGCATCTTCTGTTGAAATCAAACTTTAGCAAATCTGAGAGATGATTAGCCAGGTTTCCTGCAGCTCTTTGCATTGATGTTGCATTTCAATAATTATAAATTAATGTCATGTATTGCCCCTCTAAGAGGAATCATATTTCCCACATAAGTGCTGGAGTTTCTAGTTTTAATGCAGTCTGGATCCCACATGCAGACAGCAGTTCGTTTCCCTGCTGTCACAACAACGTCCCCAATTATCCAGTGGTGTCTGTCAGGCTCATAACGGATCATCTGGGATCCAGCAGATCGGTTCATCTCAGAACGATAACTCATCCTGATAACTCAGATCAAGCTTAAATGTTTTCTCTCCTCAGTTAAAGGATTAGTTACAGCAGAGACAGCAGCTGTGAGTTCACGTCATAATAACATAACGCAGCGAGGAGAGTCGTCTCATCAACATTAAATCTAATCCTAATCTCCTTCCCGACGCCGCAGCTCCTCCAGTGGAGGAAGTTAGCGACTGTGATTAATGGCGGCCGCTCCCTGCTGAGCCGCTCTGGTCTTTAATGACTCCATGAATCTCATCAGCTTTGTTAAAACCAGCAGGAGGGAAAACTTTCCTGAAACCACGGAGACTGTTGGAGCGAAGCGGAGAAGAGCTGCAGGAGCCGGAGAGACGGAAGGGAGAGAAGATTTGATAGGATGGAGACAAAAGGCAGAGAACAGCTGAGACTAAATGAATCAGATGGTTCTGGACTCTGGACCCAGTCCAGAACACATGGACCTGAAAGAACCTGGATGCAAACTGGACAGCAGCTGGATGTTTTCCTTTCAGCCTGCAGCTGAAAGCAATTGTTTCATTCCAGATCTGATTTATGATTTTAATTGTTTTTGGGGTTTTTCTTGTTCACGTTCTTTTCTAAAAAGGAAATGACAAATAAGTCAAATAATTCCAATCATCCCTGCAGAGAGTATCAGGTTCAGGCTATGAGAGTTTTCATTTAATTATGAGAATAACGTCACAATATTAGCAGAATAATGATTCATTTGATCCAGAATCAAAGAAGAAGTCGTCTTCAGAGTTATTGGGATCCAATCTGAGCAGCTCAGTTCCTGAGATTCTTCTTTCAAAATAAACTTAATCATCTCCCATTAATGTGTTAAAAACAAAGTATTTGTAGTTATCATAAAATTACGACTTTAGTCTCCTAATATCACAATTTTGTAGAGGTAATATCATACTTTTTTTTGTAATAATATATTTGTTTCCTGGCTGTAATACTGTCATATAGTTAACCTGAAAATCCAAATAACAAAAGCTGTTAAAAAGGCCTGCCAAACAAGATGGCCGCCCTTGGTGTGCTGATACACTGAGCAACGGAAACTGAGGAGCCCATTGGTTAAAAAGGAAGAGAAGAAAGAAAAATGCTGATTTTCCAGGAATTTAATCTTTAAAAGCCAAACATTTGCTAAAATGGCCGAGCTGCAGATCCCCGTCAATAAATGCAGCCGTCCTTCCTGTCCAGCCGCTCATCGTCATTTCGCCTTGACTGGAAACCGTTTATATGTTTAAAGAGAAACAGGAACATTTTCTCTTCCTCATTTGGAGATTTTTTTCTGCCGTGCCGGGAATGTTTCTGCTCCAGCTCGACCCGCCTCTTGTTCTTCGTTTCTATTTCTGGCAGCACATGAATTTACTCCACAAACATGGCAGTGACTCTTCACACTCATCTCGTCTTGATCTCAGATCAAATCCTTTTTATTTTCCCTTGTGGAATAAAAAAGCTCCAGGCGTCTTTCTGAAGCTCCGTTTTCTCCACGCTGTGCAGGAATTTTCTCCAACATGGAGCTCAGGTGTCAGCAGCAGTTCAGCAGGTTTGATCTAATCCCATTAATCTGGCAGAAGAAACTTTAAGGAAACTTCCATCTCCTCCATGAAGCAGGAACGTTTCAGTAAATCCTGGTTTTTCATGATGAAAACTCTACAAAGTGAAGATGCAGTTCTATTAACTCACCAATGCAAGAATTTATATCTAATTTTAAAAAGTATGTTACTTGTACAGATTGTAATTTTAATTGTTTAGCTGTGATGACGGTTAGATCATCCACACTGTTCAGTTTTACATCCTGGTTATTTTATTGATGCTGTTTTTGATCAGAACATCTGATTCATAATAAGATAAAAACATAATT